CCAGCTGTATTGGACCAGTTAATTTCACAAGCCAGAGCACACGGACAAGCGGCGCAAGAACAGCAGGTTACTTTTAGATTCTTCGTTGAAATTTCTTGACGTATTTTATTCTCTAGCGTGCGATGCAGCGTCCCCTACCTGTGCAAGTCGCAAGTGCCAGCAACCACCATCAGTATAGTCAGGTTAGGTCATTTTATTTGAGAAGGAGGTGTTTTCCATTATGGGATGTGTAATTAATTAGGTGTGAAATTAGCTCTCATTCACTCGCTCGGGTAAAACTCTTGTTTCACTGTAAAATAGTTGAGCTCACTCATTCTCCATTTGACATGAAGACAACGATTTAGTTTACTTTGAGCTATCCAGGATGATTCACATCATTTATGATTTACTCAGACAAGTTGAAATTTCATTGATCCTACAGATGACTTCACAAGCCCCCCTTCCTGTGCGATCTCTTCCTAACACGCATCCCAGGTACTCGCAGAATCAGGTATGGCTAAAGGTGTTTGTGTTTACTCAATCATCGGCCCTCTGTTCTTTTCTCAGAATATGAGTGAAATGATTAACGATAAGTAACTTCTCGTCTCGTTTTGGTATGTCATCGAGCACATCCGCCATCGAAGTGTGAAAAAATTTACTCTCACTAGGCCTGTCTTAGCATAGTTTAGCATCTTACCTTTGCCCATCGGAAAACGATTCCGAGTAATGTTCATGGAGACATTATTATGTATCATTTTCTATCTCAGATGGCGACACAGCAGGGACAGTCCCAGCATTTGCATCAGACTCATACAACACAAAGACGGCCACAGTATGGAGCAGTTCAAGTAGGTTTTTTGCTAGATCTATACAAGGGTTTTCTGTCTAAGCCTCATCCACTACTTTTAGGCCCAACTTGTTTCTACCAGTCCACACCTCACCGTATCATCAGGTTTGTCTTGATGATCTTCGTATTTGATACGTCATTTAGTGATTTAGAAAAATCCAACAACGTTAGTATAACTTTGTAACAAGATTTGCAGGGTATTCTATTCAGGACTAAGGATAAAAAGGCTCAGTGGTTCAGAGGTAGTTCAGTTCCGTGCTCATTGCTTTAAAGCATCGAAATACAAATTCTGTTATCAATGCTTTAAAAAAAGAATAACTTAGCGAATTACATTGTAGCATATGTTATGCAGTGTAATAATTTGAGAAGATACTTTCTAATTGAATGACATGAAGAAAATGATCCACAAACTTTTGCTTCTTAATTTTCCGAGATTGCACAGTGTCCTCGGATAATCATTTTCTGGATTTTATGTCTTCAATTCTTCTTGAACACTATTAATTCGCTGTTAGTTGTATATCGCGATCTAAATGTTGCAGGTACTGAAGGAAGTCCCATCGGAAGTGGGAGTAACGATGAGAGCCCTCGGCGATTTCAAACTCCACATGTAGCTGAAAGTGGTCCAATATTGCTTACCCCTCAGCAAGACTGAACAACTTATAAATCAGAAGTCCATCATTGGATCTAATTTCGTTTCGAAAATGATTTTTTAATCCACTCCTTCATATGCTTTGCAAACGCGGTTTACTAAATTCATAATTTTCCTCTTTGCTCTTTCATAGCCTTATCATATCACCACTTTCAAAAAGTTAATGCATTGTAGACTTGATTAAAAGTTTTCTAGTCTTGAACGTTGCAACTTTCTGTTTGTGAGAGTGTTGGTAGTTACCGATTGTAACCATAATCATTTGTTCATCATTCGGATCACCTCTTATATTGCTTATACTAATTCTGTTTACTTTGTATCGGTTCAAATAAAGTTTTTTTTCTGAGTTTTGTATAGCTTCTTTGGTCGTCCCTATATTATTTTCACATTATATGGATACAAGAATTACTCCTCAGCAGTTTCAATCTTTAAAAATTCATTTTTTGAGGGTTTAGAAAATGGATGAGGATGGCGGAGCAAGTTCGGATATCATGTGTTTTACACCTCTGTGAGTTCTTTTCATAGCTAACGCGGATCAACTTCTGACTTTCACTAAGGTTGCGATTTGTTCATATTTAGCGGTTCTGGGCAAGAAGTTGGTAGGTCCTGTCATCTGCTCCATTTCAAGGGAAAAAAGATCTTGGTTGGTTGGATGTTCCTTTCATTTCCATTTTCTCTTTGAGAAACATCTTTGCACTGGTTACTTTACAGTTGGACTGCGGCGTGCATCCTGGTATGCATGGTGTAGACGCTTTGCCGTTTGTGGATTTCATAGATATCGAGGAGATCGACCTATTGCTGGTTGGTGACATCACTGGTCAATATGACTAATAAATTCTCTTCCCCTTGATTACTTGATTTTCTATATCCATCTATATATTCAATTTGCATGCTGCAAATTTTCTGGGAAACGATAAAAATTTCTCCCGTCAATGCGAATGTTAGAAAATTTCACTTCTCATTGTGGTATTTCTTCTGATGTGTCATGATAATATTCATCAGGACAATGAGGTTTTTCGTTAATCTCAGGCTACATCTTGTTCTAGATCACTCACTTCCATCTCGATCACTGTGGCGCCTTGCCCTGGCTTTTGGAAAAAACTGGCTTTCAAGGAAAATGTTTCATGACCCATGCGACAAAAGCCATCTACAGAATGCTTCTTGGAGATTATATTAAGGTAGATTTCTTTGTACTTAAAGTATTCTAGAAATATCTTGTAGGTGGCAAAGTATGGAGGAGGAAGTGACCGCAGTATGTTGTACACTGAAGAAGACCTTGAGAGAAGTATGGAAAAGATTGAGGTAAAGGCCAGTACCGAAGCAGTTTGCTACGGAATCTAGTTCACATACCTAACGTCTGTTTGTTCTGTGAATTGCAGGTAATCGATTTTCATGAGCAGAAGGAAGTGAACGGTATAAGATTCTGGCCGTATGTTGCTGGACATGTTCTGGGTGCATGCATGTTTATGATCGAAATTGCAGGTATGTTCTCCTGAACATCTATTCATCATGTCGTCGTGCTTTATTTAGCGTTTACGCTAAGTTTTTTTCTTATTAGGGGTCAGGGCGCTTTACACTGGTGACTTTTCAAGACTGGAAGACCGGCACCTTTGTGCAGCTGAGATGCCCACGATTACTCCTGATGTTCTCATATCGGTAATTTGAAATAAACTATTTCTATTGTTCATGAAGTTTCTGTCATACTGCTTAAGGAGTCTACGTACGGTACTCAAATCCACGAGGAACGAACTGAACGTGAAAAGAGATTTACTCAAATGGTTCATGATATAGTTGGGAGAGGAGGACGTTGTCTCATCCCCGCATTCGCACTGGGAAGGGCTCAAGAGCTTCTTCTCATTCTTGATGAATATTGGGACGCACATCCGGAGCTGTATGATATTCCAGTTTACTGTAAGTAATTTTCCAAAATTTTATGACTTTTCGAGTCATCTTCTTTGATAAAAATTTAATGTTATTGTAGATGCATCTTCTCTCGCCAAGAAGTGTATGGCAGTATATCAAACTTTTGTCAGTGGTATGAATCAACGAATTCAAAAGCAGATAGCTGTTAGCAATCCTTTTGTTTTCAAGCATGTTAGCAATCTAAAGGTTCTCCTTCATTGCATTTCTCTCGTTCCCCTTATGTTTTTGTGATTAAATTACATAATCATCCAGGGAATGGAACATTTCGAAGATTCCGGTCCTTGCGTAGTATTGGCAAGCCCTGGCATGCTTCAGAATGGACTTAGTAGAGAACTTTTTGAAAAATGGTGCACTGATGCAAAAAATGCCTGTATCGTAGCTGGTTATTGCGTCGAAGGAACACCTGCTAAGGTGCCGAGTTGAAATTTTCGTTTATTCAACTTTCACACGATCGTTGAAAGGCTTTCACAACAATTCAAAAGACTTATACGACTTATAGAGTATTGCTTTAGCATATTCTCTCTGAACCGGAAGAATTTGTAGCGATGAATGGAGACCGCTTGCCAATGAGATTGCAGGTGTGCAGCTTCGTTATGGTTTGACTTTATCTCCGCTCAACCTTGTTCCAATATTTTCTTAGTCGCT